ATAAGCAAAAAAACTGTCAGGTCATGAGCACAATACATGCAACTATTAAACTATTTGCTTTCATAAGAGATATCTAAGCTGTATTAATAGCTAATAAGGATTACTTTAGAAAACCTCAAGTCAGTGACCAATGTAATCCAGACTTGTCAGGTCAGCAAGAGTATTGGATGTATTTGCAAGATGAAACGTGCTCTTATTCAAAGTACTAACATACAAACTATGAGAGAACAGTTATATAACAAAAACAACTGCCATATAACATTTATAAAATACCACCCTCCTCATGATTAAAGTTCAAGAGTTACAGCATTTTTACCTCTTATAAATTATTCTTTCCTTAACATTCTGTGGAATTAGTGAAAGTCCATAACTGTAAATGACCTACAAGTTTTGTACCTAAATTTTAGAATAACATGAAAAGATCATACAACTATAACAATGAAATATAATGCTTTTATATTTGGCTGAAGCACTAACTAGAGAGAAACACTTCAGAGAAGAGAATTTAACAGCCATGAAATTATATATAATATACATACACACACTGTAAACAAGATGTGGCACAGAAGCAACTGTACCAATGTTGTCCGTTATGGACTCAAATACTAAAAACAGTTTCAAATAAAAATTCATTTAATCATAACAGTTCTTTCAAATGTTTATAAATTGAAAGTAATATTTAAAATTTGTATTTCAGTTTAGTGTTGTGAAGTTCATTTAGTGTTTACATTAATCAAGAAGCCCTGATAAGACAACAGTTATCAAGTTATGCAATACTGTATTTGACTCATACATTGGAAATTAATGATAGATATAAAATACCATAAATAAAAACTAGTATTCATGATGATCTTAACTATTTTGAATTATTCAAGACCAATATTTCCTCAGGTTTGTTAAGTGCATTAGAGCTTAACATAGCAAACTGACCCATTATTAGTCCATTTTTATCATTGCAATTTTTATACTCAGAAGTGTTCATCTGTTATTTTTATTGGCAATTTTAATCTTAGAATGATTGTAAAACAACTATATCCATGAAATTAACAGCCTGAAACAAACTGAAAGCATTCAATTTTACCCCTATTTTTTAATATTTTCAATTCTTCAAATTTTACATCAAAGCATGATACTTACACAAATTCTTTTGTCAAAATTGCTCTCAGTAATAAAATGGATTAAATTACAATTTTATAAACAAATTTCCCACTATAAATATAACTGAATGTCTGAACCAAAGTCTGTATTACTGACAAAATAAAAGTTTTTAGAACTGAGATAATTGAATCTCTGAATAAAGGATTAAGAAAAAAGGCAAATAGTACTTGAGTGATTTACATTTATTTGTAAGCCTCATTAAAGAAAAAAGAGAAGTGTGTGATAAGTAATCACTGATTCAACAAATGTTTTATACATCTCACACAATTGGTTCACAAAATGCCTTTTTAGATGAATGGATATTATTGATTAACCTAGTAATGGTATGTCTAGAAACAATTCTTAACCAATTTATTCTCACAACTAATCTAATCATTAAATTAGTTCAAGTTTTAAAACATAATGGATGCTTCATTAAATATCAAATACTGCTACAGGTGGAATAGTGTATGTATGTAGTGTAGTAAAATAAGTGTTTTATTTTCTATATAAATAAAATAATTCCTTCACGTCGTCAGGCTAACAAAAGGAAGGGATGAAGAGAAAAATCATATTCGAATTGTTAAAAAAAATCGTTAAGAATTGGGACATATAGATCTTGGAAACAGAATAAATTATTAATTGAACGCTATAATTTTTTTATTCATCAGACTCCAACAACCCTCGATCAAATTTTGGTCACCTTCTCATGAAAATTGGGTCAGTGCTTAGCAAATATTACTCAATTACTGGAATTTTTTTCTGTTATAATGAAAAATCAGTTTCTTTTGTAATGGGTACTACTTATTTTTGCTAGCGATAAAATAAAAAAAACAGGTTCTACTGATGAGATTATTAAGAAGAGAAGAATGAGGTAATGAAAATTATTGATAAGAATAAAAATATAAACCAAGTTATGATATTTATAAATAAATTAAATTCATTTTTTCTCTTTTTCTAATATCGGGGGGAATAACTGATTTTACTTGCATAAATGATTGGAGACATTTTCCAATAAATAGATTTTTCGATCGAATCATAAGAAAAAGGGGATCACATTCATTATCGAAATCTATACACCACATAAATTATCAGATGGTTATACAGCAATCAAGGACTTTGCATTTTTAAGAAAATACCTTTTTAGAAAAATGTTTTTTATTATTTTATTTTTTAACGATTATAAAATGTTAATAGACCGAGTTTCAAGACGAAAGGGGGGTTCCAATAAAAGGAAGAAATAATGGATGCTAAAAAAACACACCAGCCTATTTTCAACATTGATAGTTATTCTTTTTACTTACAGAAATCATTTGCACCAAAAAGACGACGGAATTAGTGATAAAATCGGAAAGAGACAATAATGTTATTCACGTAAAAGCTAAAAGAAAAAAAATATGCAGTAAGAAAAAAAAGAAAAGATTTCAACAAGACATCAAGCAGAAAAATGAAGATTAGTGAAGAATGCCAATCAGCCAACGGGGTTTAAAATGGTAACATTTTTTGGGGTGATTAGGAAATCAACCAAAAAAATGTTACCATTCATTTGCTGAGAAGTAAAAGTAATGCCGATGATAATGTATGGAATAATGAATGACAATAAATTTAACTTCATGTGATAGTATGTATAATTATCAACGATAGAAATAAGTTTCTTTTAGTTTTGTTAGAACTAGTTCTTTAATCGTGTCCCCAGTCCTTGTTTTTTGGGGATTTTTTTTAAATCCAGGTTCTAACTTGGAAGTGAAGAGACAAAGAAGCATGTCATTAGTGATTCAGTGGACGACAGTATCCCAGCAGCAGTAATAATGTACAACATGCAAACAAGTAGCAGTAGTTGAGAGAGTGTTCAGTTGTTTAAAGTCTATTTCTTTTTTAAAAAGTGACTGACAACGTGTAATTTAACTAGTTTTAGATTTCCTAAGATTGCAAAGAAAGCACAATGATTCTATTCTACTTGAAGCCATTCTCTACATTTTTTTTTATTGCTGAAGAAAACGAAACAAGGACATGATTTAAAAGGAAAACCGAATTCGAAGAACTCCAACCTTGACCCAAAACAAAAAAAAAAAAAACTCACGAATTGGCATTGTCTAATAATAAAATGAATCTGACGATAAAAATTACAAACAATGAAAGAAAAATCAGAAAAAAAAAAATTGATTGACACGCTTTCCACAAACATACACACACACGCCTTTTTTCTTTTTATAGTTAGGTTTCCCCCGTGAACATTTCTCTCTGAATTACGTTGGTGACTCTTAGAGTTGAATTTTTTTAACAGCAACACCCAGTCCAATAATTTGACAATAAAACAGTTTAAGAAAAAGAAAAACAGCAGTCAGAAATATTAAATAACGCTCACATTTTTCCAGAATTAAATGATAAAATGAAAAATCATTTTTTTTATATATATATATTTTTTGAAATAGCTCAATTCGTGGTGGTAAGATTTACTTCCCTATCTAAAAAAATATTGTTGATTTTTAATAAGTGTGACCCACTGTCAATATAAATTCTAATTTTGACATTGAAACAAGGCAAGACATTGGCTATTTTTTTTTTTTTTTAGGTGAAACTATTTTTAAAAAACTTAAATGTAAATAAAAAATGCTGAAGAGTAGACGAAAAAATTAATTGGTGACAAAACATCTACTCGTTACAAAATGGGTAAGTCGGAAGGGTAAAAGTAAAACAAAAATGGTTTTACGTTGTCAACGTATTTAATTTTATTGGCTTTTTTAATTTTATAAGCAAGTTCTACAAAGACAAAATTCTAATTTACAATCAATTTTTAAGTTTTAACTATTTGATAAAAAAATATTCATTGCAAAAATTTCCTGGTATTTCAAAAATGTTACAAAGTCTATGTAAATAATTTTTTTAAAAAAATGATAAAATTAAGCTGAAGCACTTTATTCTGCGCTCTCGTTTCACAAACAGACAAAAAATTAAAGAAACAAAATTAATTAAAGAAATAATTAAATTATTTTTAAATTGAAGATAACACATGAAATTGTGAAGTAATAGCTAAAAAAATATAAATGGACTATAAAAAAAATAAATATGGTGACTATCCCAAATAATTTTTTTTAATTAATTTTCATTGCTTTTAATTTGTGAATTGATTGTATAAGGTTTGTAATAAATGATTATTTAAAATTTATTACATTTGATTTACTTAGAGATCCTTTTTATTTTAAAATTAACTGTTTTAATATTTTTTTACTCACTGGTACTGAGAAGTAAAAATTAAAATTTTAGTCAGTGGGTAGGGATAAAAAACACTCACTACTTCTCAAAATTAATATTAATGCTAGCTAGCACAATAAAGCTTTGATTAAAGCATTTTGAAAGTAAAACTTGCAATAAACGAAAAAAATATAGAAAAAATCCTGTAAAAGACAAGAAATATCAAGAAAACAGATTTTTTTTTTAATGAGTGGGTGTTACTGTTAAAAAAAATGTTGCGTCTACTGCTACTGGGCAGCCCGAAAGTCGGGGATCTTTTTCTAACATTCCCATAATAAACATTACAATAAAATGAATGAACTTTCCACTGGAAATAATAATGCACCTTTTGATTATTCAGAGTAATAAAGATAAATTAATAAAGAGAGTAATTAGTTTTCCGCATCATTTTAAAAAGACATTATTATTATTATAATTTACATTGCAATGCCCCCTCCCTCCCCAACACTCAAACGCAATCAGAAAAACAGCGCAACTTTGCCTTTTTTAACATACAAAAAATAAAAATACACGAGCATAATAAAACTAAAAAAAATTATTCAATACTGTTTTCCTATCAAAAACTGATTTCCTAAAACATTTAAAAATGCAAAAACCCGCAATTTACTTACCTGGTTTGGGCTAGGAATCTTCGGCAGGTTCTCCATCTCGTTTAACATTTACCGTTTTCACCAAAATGCTACAAGCGGAGTGAACAGCAGAAAAATTAGCTTAATAAAGAAATCCACTTTTATCTAATAAAATATTCTTTTTACAATTTATTCCATCCAATAAAAATAGAATTTTAATAAAATATGCCACAAAATGAAAATATCCATTAGTTAACGAGAATTTATTATCGTCTTCAGTCCTGCTTTTGTGTGAATTGCTACTTCCGGATTGCTGTGTCATTACGAAAGTTGTAGCGGTAGAGGGTCTCCCTCTGTTTTTTTAAAAATCGGGTAAGTACATTAAATAAAAAATTGTTAAATTATGTATTACATTTTTAAAGCATGAAAATGTATAATGTTTTCTTCAATGATTTAGATCATAAAGTTTTAATTAAATAGAACTTTCTGAATTTCTTTGCCAACGCATGCACAAGCGCTTTGTTTTCCATTAAAACTGCTTTTAATAAAATAAACTGCGGTTTTTATTTATTTTTTTCATTTATCCCTCAAAAATATCATTAAGGACATTAAGTTTTAAACTCTGCATTTAAAAATCTGAATATCATGTAAATACTTGTGTAAAAAATAAAGATAACTATCTCTATTCATAGGAGCACGCTCTTCGTTTATAATTGTACAAAAATAGTTAATAAAACTTTCCTTTTCTGTATTAATATAATTTACTATAAAAATAACAGCATAGTTAACGATAATCTGAGTTCTCTATTTATTTTTTAACAAAATGCGAGTATAAATCTTTAACAATAAACTAAAGTGATTTGTAAGCTTGAAGTAATGGTCTTTTTGGGTATTGCGATTGTGGTAAAAAAAATTCTTAGTTTACTCAAGCAGCAGATGTAACCGAAAAATAATTTTTTTTTAAAATTACTGAATTAAGTGGACCTTTAGTGTTTGCTGATTCATTTGGTGTGAGATAAATTTTTATTTTAAATAAAACTTTAATCTACGGAATACAGACAATGTTCGCTGCATCAATGATGATTCTTTTTTTTTCTTTTTCAGATCAATCAAGTTTATTTTCTTTTATTTGTTTTTTTTTGTCATTTACTTTCGGCTTTATAATAAACTATTTGTATGAACGATATAATTGAATGAATTTAATAGTGTTATTTTTGCCGCCTGAATAAAGTAGGATTTCCCTGTCTCAATTCTTGATCATTATATGACGAATAATAATTTTTGACATTAAACCAATTAACGACATTCTCATTGTTTGCCAAACTTAATTTCAAGCATGTTGTCAATGTCATGGCATAAACCTTCCGATAAAAAAAATAGTTTATAAAATTCAAGTTCTGTTTCATTTACGTAAATATTGTTCTCTGAAAGGCACAATCATGGGCGATAATTTGAGAAACTCAACTCGAGATCGCCAAATTTAAGAAATGTTTTAAAGAGCGAACAATTCACGTTAGATTTACAATACATTTCAATTTCATTCTCATTAAGTGTTTTTGAAATTTGTTGTAACAATCTATTCAATTTTCTTCCACCTAAATAAATAAAATGAAACTATAAAATAATTATTATTTTACTTTTATCATTTAATATTTATAATATTGTTATTGTATATACGACTAACGATTGATATGATCTAAAAAATAAAAGTTAATTTGAATAGCTAAATTGTTAATAACTAAATTACTTGATTTTGAATTTTATAAAGATATATGCATTTCATTTTTTTACTCAGTCCTAGGTATGATAAACTACATCTGCGTCCTGGGTAAGACGATAAACTACGTCCAACAGCAAGGCCTCTTAATTGCTGGTGTCCCAGGTCCACCCTGACCTAGGGTGGTAGCACCTGTTAGGGTCCCATCTATGGGTAAATAGTTAATCCCCCAAACTGGGGTCAAAACACTATGAAAGTGTAAAAAATAGGTTTTAAAACTAGCTATACATTTTTAAAGAAAATATTACCAGCAATAAAAATTGTCAGCATTAAATAACCCATTGTGGTTGATATCTCGTAAACCAAACCAATCAATTTTTTACCTAATTGGTTTGATTTTTAAAATGACTATAGTTGCCAAATAAATTATGTACCTAAACTGTATTGATTACTAATCATTACAGTTCAGTTACATAATAATAATTATTAAAATTAAATAAATAATTATTTACATTTTACAACCATTATCCTAGAATATTTGGCACTACTTTATCAATTTAGAATGGGGGTGGGGGATCCTGTTTAGTTTTTAATAGGTACATCCACAAATTTAGTATACGTAAGGTTTAAAGCAAACTTGATTTTTTAAAAATGCTATTACTTTACTCGGTAATGAAAATACTTTGGTGTATTTCAAACTGAATTTATATTGATTGGAATAGACTTGGAATTTTTTTTATTTTTATTTTTTTTTCAGTGAAATCAATAACGTCAGTCTTTTTTTTTTTTTTTTTTTAGACAGTTGTAAACAAAACTTAATTTTCCGTTTTAAAAATCTTCAAAAAATAAAATAATATATTTCTGAAATGTTATTTGAAGAAAATTAGCAAATTTAAAGTAAAGTTAACCTGATTTGAAACAAAACTTACTTATAACATAAAAATGTTGTATGCAAGCATTTCCTAACCAAGAAGTCTTCTTTTTCTGACGTTTTAATTGATTTATTGATGGCGGATTGACTGCCAAACGTGTACATAGTTAAGTATGGTGTAGCAGATGTTAAATTTCATTAGGGCTTTGTTTTTTATTCCACTAAATGGAGACAACCCTTAAAACACATGAACTTTTAAGAAAAGATTTATCAGTTTGTACATCCATACTTAAGAAATTCTACATACATATATATATATATATATATATATATATATATATATATAAAAACAAAATTCTTTTAAAAATAGTTGGGGTCTTCAGATTGTAATAAGCTTTAAAATATATGATTAGTAAATATAGTTTTACTTAATAACAATATTTACTAAGAATTATCTCATCGAAATTGAATGTTAAAAGATTTAAGAACTTCATAAATTATTCAATTTTAAATTGTAAAAAAAATGAAAACAAATCTTGTAAAAATTCATTTTCCATTGAAAAAAATAGTTTCTTCATACAGTATTGTCTTTAATATATATTATTAATAAAAGCAATTAAAACTCTCTCTCTAATTAAATAATCTCCTGGCTTTATTGTTTTTTATTTTTCAATTCAGAACAGGTTTTCGGAAAGACTGGGCCTGATTTTACAAAAAAATTTGGCGATTTAAATTCTGCTTTTAACTCATATATTCACTAAAAATTATCTTGATGAATTTCTCAAGCTTTCATAAATTAAGGGGGAGAAACATGTAAAATAAAAAATATTTTTAGCAAGATTTTCTAATAAAAAAAATTCAGAAATAATTTCATTCATTTATAAGTCATGAAAATTTCATCAAAATCTGACAGTTTGATCTTTGCAAGAATTTCCAAATTAATGTGTCTATCACTGCAAAAAAAAAGAGATGAAAATTTGCTATTCCAAAAGTTAATAGAACTGTTGACACAAAAAAAACATTTTAATCAAAATTTCGAATGTTCTAAAAATGAGTAAAATATTTAATTAAATAACAAAAAAATATTTGATCCTTCCTTTTTCATAATAGCATAATAATTTTGACAATAAAACTGTTTTCATTGCATTTGGAGCATGTTTTCATCACAGTATGCTGATTTTTTTTAGTGATCTCATGAAGGTATCTAATTTATAATATTAATACAGTGCCAAATCGATCCCTCATTTTTAGTTATTGGTTTTAGGTTAAGTCACTTAGCAGTTATTTACAAATGTCACGTTTGAAAATGGGCTATCTGCATATTTTAAAAATTTTCTGAATTCTTTTTTTAACTTTTATAAACCTTTTCTTTTAGCCTTTCTTTTTATTATTTTTTTAATTTGTTCTTTACTTATATATTTATCTGTTATTGTAAAGAAATCTTTTTGTCATCCACTGTATCAACATGATAAACAAGATCTCCCCTTTACAAACTGATAACAAATCAATATTTTTAGTTTATGACAAGTGTCACAGCCTAAGGAAGGTCTAAATCACCTCCTCCCCTCAGTTAATCTTGAATTTCAAATTATTGGATGCCAAATAAATGTGAAGAAAGAAACAATCAAAACCTTGGGATATAAAAAATATATTAACATTTGTTTAAACTTGTTAGAATTTTATTTTGGTTTAATTCCTAAAAACTTGAAGGAGATAAGATCAAGTTGCAAATTTACAGATTAAAATATGCTCGATTGAATAGTTTGCATTTTCAAATCGGTAACTTTAACCATGTTGTTATTTTATAAAAGTAATGGTAATTAGCATATTAATAAAATTTCTCAACTACTATCAATTGAAAACACTTTTGGTAGATGAAAGGAAAAAATATTTAGCTATGGCTAAGTATTCTTCCCTTTCATTGGTTTATAAAAAAATTAATAAACTTATTTTCTTTTTTTGACAATTCTGCAACTTGGTCAATTTAAAAGTTGCATCCCAAAGAGCTGAAGAAAGTTCTTGCTTATTTTAACACTATAAGTTAAATCAAAATTTCCTCAAAACCTAAGAAAAATATATTTTGTATAACTAGCTAAACTCATTTCAGAAACTTGTTTGTCCATAACTAAACACTACAGATACTTAAGCACTTTAATTTTACAGAAAAAACTTCCATCAGCACCAACTTGCTTGATTTTTAATTTATTTTGTTACTTTCTTTAATTGATTTTCATATGACTAGTATTTCTTTTAAAAGTATAAGACTGATAAAATTTCTAATTGTATCATTTAATAAAAATGGTATGCTATCTTGCTTCAATTTGGAATCATGATTAACTGAAATGAGTTATTCACCTTTAAATATGCCTGTTATTGAAATCCAGTATAAATTGATCAATCAGATTTCTGATTTATAATCTAGATATTTTTTAATTTTCTTTTAAATGTTCATTTATTCCTCTCTGATTTAGCATTTGAGATATATATATATATATATATAAA